GGGGCGCGCACGCGCCAGATCTCGAGCAGGGGGTCGACTGCAGTCAGGAGGAGAAAAAACACACAGACACAGTGAATCCTCGATCCCCCCAGAAAATATTGGAAAATATGGGATGTGGAGGGGAAGACAGAAACCCAGAAAATCTTGGAAAATATGGGGAACATTTGTATTTGTGTGTATTTATTAGTGTGTCCTGGGGCCCCTTCATACAGAGTCGATTTACCCCAGGATTTGAGTTCCCGTCGAGTCTGCGAAGGAGTGCACAGAAAATGCTCGACGAAGCATCCTGCGCATTCCTCGCAGGCTCCACGAGCAGCTCGACTTGTTTGGGGCCCAGGAGATCTGCGGTCGATGCTTTACGCCAGGATCCGCGGATCCGTAACCCGTGTTACTCTCTGCGCCCGGAAGGGACCGCCCTTACCGCCCCCCCCCCCCCCCGGGAGAGCCCAGGCCCCTTCGCGCGTCGTGGAGCAGGCGCGACGGAGGGACTTGTGTTGTGTTTCCTGTGCTCGGCACCCGGGGGGTGCCTCGCTTGGGCGGGCCCCTATGGGCCCCCTCGGGGATCCACGCTGCAAAATCATCCGGGGAAGGAGCGGGAGCTTGGGTTCAGTCGGGCCTGTCCCCCTACAGGGGGATTTTCGCCGAGAGTGAAGAATACCCCGAAGATAGTCCAAAAATAGTCTGGGGACTATTTTTTCAGTTTTTTTTTTTGTTTACCTTTTCGGTGCATTTTTGGAGTATTTTTTATTTTTCGTCGAAAATCCCCCTGTAGGGGGACAGGCCCGACTTAGAGCTTGGGCGGAGAGGGATGGGGGCGAAGGGGAGGCTGCAGGAGGACGGCCCGTTGGCGGCGGCTTCGGCCCGTGGCCCGCTCTCCGCGATCGTCTGCCCCGGCCCGTGCCTGGCACGAGCACGGGCTCGTGTGTTCTCTGCAGCGAGGACGCTGTTCCTCCCCCTCCTCCTCCTCCGCCTCCTCCTCCTCCTCCTCCTCCTCCTCCCCCTCCCCCTCCCCCTCATCCTCCGCCTCCTCCTCCTCCTCCCCCTCCTCCTCCTCCCCCTCCTCCTCCGCTTCCTCCTCCTCCTCCTCCTCCTGATCAGCTGGACCGGCTCGGGTTCGGTGGGGGCCCGCTTCGTTTCTCAGGTCTTTCCCGTGGCTGTTCGTTCCTGTAGCCCTCCTCGTGCATTCAGGCGCTCTTGACGCCAAGGAGGGGGCTCCGTTCCTCCTTCAGCGCTCCTCATCTCAGCAGCCGTTCTTCAGGAGGGGAAAAAACACACAAACACAATTAATCCTCGATTCCTTAGAAAATATGGGAAGTGGGGGGGAAGACAAAAACCCAGAAAATATTGGAAAATATGGGGAATATTTTTATTTGTGTGTATCTATTTGTGTGTCCTGGGGCCCTTCACTTCTGCACCTCTGCGATGGCCACATCCGTGCGATCCGGGCGTGCGCACGCGAAGACGTATACGAAGGCGGGCAGCCAGTCTGGCAGTCGCCCCGTGGCCACGGCAGGTCCGGCCGGGCGCGCGCGGCGCGCCCCCGCCTTTTGCACGGCGCGCACGTGCAGCAGGCCAGCCACAACTGGGGGAGCTGTGGTCCTTACCCCCCTGGGGGGCCCATCGATTTCGACACCCCTCTCGAGAGATCGTCGATGCGATGGGTTCCCCCAGGGGGTAAGGACCACAGCTCCCCCAGTTATGGCTGGTCGGTGCAGCCTGCGGAGGAAGACATCGAGGACACCAAGAACAGTCTCGCCGCCGACCAGCAGTTCCTGATGATGCTCAAGGAGCGCCCGGCCCGGGTTTCCGTCGGGCCTGTCCCTCTGCAGGAGGAATGTATTCCAAAATCGTACAGAAATAGTCCGGGGGTGACTTGCTTTTTTACTGGTTTTGCATATTTGTGGGGTATTTTGTTTTACCATTTTCCATTTGTCGTCCAAAATCGGCAGGTAGGGTGGCAGGCCCGACTTCACCGAAGACCCGACGGAGGGGGCACGCCCGCGCGCCCGAGGCGGGGCCGGCCGCGCCAGCCCGGGGTCGAGGCGGGGCCGGCCGCGCCAGCCTTGCGCGCTCCGAGCGCGCTGCTGCAGCCAGGCGGCCGCATCCGCGGGCTGCGGTGCGAGGGGTCACGTCGGGCCTGTGCCTCTCCAGGAGGAGGATTCGAAGACAGGCAAAACATGTCTGCACGAGCGAGATGGGCACGGAAAGAATGGGTAGGCTGCCCAAGAGCAGTTCCTGTTCATCTTGAACAGGACTCGCTGTCCGCGCCGCCGCGGCCGCTGTCGGTTCGGGACAACATTTGTTGTTGGGCATTGTGCCCATTCTTTCCGTACCCATTTCGGGCGTCCAAAAAGTCGGGCCTGTCCCTCTGCAGGAGGAATCTATTCGAAGACAGTCAAAACATGTGCTCGGGAATTTTGGGTGTACTTTTGTATATGTTGGTGCATTTTTGGAGGGTATCGGGGGGTATATTGTTTGGGCAGTTTTGGGGGTATGTCTGTGGAATCTGTTTGGGGTATGTTTGGGGTACGTTTAATGTTTCGTCCACAATGCCCCTGTAGGGGGACAGGGGGTGGGGGGAGGGGGGAAGGCTTCTTGGAGCGGGGCTGCTTCCCAGAAGGAGGCCGCCTCTCAGAAGACGCCGGCCCTGCATCCAGAGACAAGGTCCGCGTCTTCTAAGCAGCATTTGATAGCTCTAAGCAGCCTTCCCCCCTTACCCTCACCCCCCTGTGCGCGCCGCCAATCCTGGGGAGCTGCTGAGTGGCCCCTGAGAAGGTTATGAGGCGCCTCCTTCTGCAAGGCCCTCAGAGCGTCCTGAAGCGCTCTGGAACGGCCGCGGCACCGCCATGAGATGTTTCTGGTTTGGGCTCCTCGTGTTAGCCCCCCAGACCCCTGCCCCGTAGCGGTAACGCCTGGGAGCCGGCCACGGGTTTGAATATTTGCAGATTCCATCGGACCGCGCGGGGACCCCGTGCGTGTCCTACGGATCCTGGGCTTCTTCGAGCCATCCACTGAATTCGAGGAGGAGGGATGAGGAGGAGGAAGTGGAGGAGCAGGAGGGGGAGCAGGAGGGGGAGGAGCGAGAGCAAGAGGTGCACACGGCTGCGGTGCTTGCGCAAGCATCGGCCTGTGTACCAGCGCAGTGGTGCGCGAAAGCGCTGCGGTGGACTGTACCCTGGGCCAGGGCATCTATCATCATAACACATAATTTGCGTATTGAATGCGATACTTGTTGTGGGCTTGCTGCGACTCTTCGGAGTTGGTGTTCCCGTCCGGACCTTGGAGGCGTGCACAGGCGTTGTGGTGCGCGCAGGCGTGTACACAAGCACTGTGGTGAACTCAGGCGTGAGGTGTTGTGGTGCGCGCGGCTGCTGTGGTGGCGCAACCACTGTGTTGTGCAACGGCACTGTGGTGCACCAAGGCATGGTGGGCCCAAAATAAAGAGCTATTGAATGCGATTTGGTTCGGGCCTGCTACGGGTTTCCAGAGTTCGGGTCCCGTCGGGGCTTTTGGGGTGCACACGGGTTTCCTGGTGTACGCATCGTTGTATACACATTGTGGGGTCGCAGTCGCCCAGAGCTGTGGTGCACTCCTGTGGTTACGCAAGCATCACGTTGAACAGGCGCGGTGGTGCACGCATGCAATACACAGGGTGGATATGGACCGTATCCCGGGCCAGAAGAAACAACAGTCACAAATGACTTACATGTTGAATGTGATACACTCGGGCCCAACACGATGTTTTCGATCTTGAGCCTCGTCGGGAGTGTGGTGTGCACGGCGCTGTGGTGCACGCGGGCATTGTCGTGTGCACAGGGATTGTGGTGCAGAGGCGATCGTTGCGCTGGTGCTGTGGGCACGCCTTGCGCGCTGCACGCTGGTCGCCGTCACCGTTACCCCCCCTGCCGACCCCCCCCCCTTCCCCCGGTACACGAGTTACCCCGAATTAATAACAAAGAGCATCGTCCATACATTTTCCACACTGGCTGCTGGGCATCGCTCGGACGTGTGCATTTTGTTTCGGCGAGGACCATCAAGGAGCACCCTGGATCATCCGGCGGAGAATAAGAGCACGAAACCGAAAAAGCGTTGGAAATTGATGTCCGAGCGATGGCAAGGCCAGGTCTCACAGATTCCCGATGTACACTCGTCCTCATCCTGCCCTCGTGTTAGGGGGCGGGGAGGCCCTGCCGCAGCTACGGCAGAGGGGCGTCATGGCCGCCGCAGACTGGCGCGCAGCCGTGGAGCGGCATTGCGACGCCATGCGAGGATTCGTATTGCGTGCTCGTGTGTTCCTCGAGACTAAAAGGGCCACTAACCCTAATAACACGAGGGAGACCTAGCCTCATTGAGGTTCCCGTCTTGGCATCAGGGAAAGTCAGTCTGCGTGGTTATGTTTTGGTACGCCTGACCCCCTATCCTCAACAGTTTGGGCCTCCTAACTTAGGTGCCCTCCTGAAGGTCAGGGGTACTTGTATTGCTTATCGTGTAATTGGCACTGAGCGTTCTCGCTCTCTCTCTCTCTCTGTCTGCCTGCCTCCGTCTTACCAGGCATTGAGAGAACGCCTGCCAAGACAAGACCATGAGAACATGTGCATGGTTTACTCGACATTGGCATTTGAGTGCACCGGTGCAGTCCCCAGTCGGTTTCGCTAATCGACGTGCGTTTCGTTTGATGGGTTCGATTGTTTCTGGACGTTGATGGGCTACCCCGCTGGGGCCCGCCGCCCGGTATACCGTGCTGCGCGCACGTGAGAAGGACGTGGCTCGATATACCGTGAAGTGCGCACGTGAAAAGCGTGGTTTACGAATCTCCGATCTTCGAGGAGCTGGGCACGGAAGCCGTCTGGCCAGGCCGTCCTTGCAGCCGATGTCGTCGGCGCGAGGGGCCCAGGCGGTTCCGCAGGGCAGCCAGCGGGGCCGCTGCGCCCCCCGGCCGGGTGCAAGGGACCACCCCCCCGCGGGCGGCGCGCCAGGAGAAGTGCTCCATGTCCGACAAGGACCTCGCCGCTTGTCTTATTACTTCGCTGTTGCTGGGGTGTGGGGCTAGGCCAGGCAGGCCTGCTTGGGCGACCGCGGTGGCTGCTACAAGGGACGAGGGGCTTAGTGGTGGATGCGAGTGCGGGCGGCATCTGGGCTACCGTAGCGTAGTAGTGGGTTGCAGATGCCCTAAGTGGCTTGAAGTGGTTTTGGTAATTCCAGGAAAGGGACACCACCCACTGACCCAAGGTCTTTGCCGACAGTGAACCGCTTAGGGCATACATCTGAGCCGTTGTAAATTAATGCTCGGCCGCGCGGACCCAACACAGTGTGCTTCTAGCAATACATGTTGTGCATTACATGTGAATCCATCTATGTGGCGCAATATATGGTGCTCCGTGTATGTTATACAAGTTATGCATATATTACATATGATGCTATATATGTAAACATGCAGGTGCATATCTATATATACACATATATACAGGTGTACACAACTAGATTGTGCAAACTATCTTGTGTGCAATGATTGTGGTGTTGTCGACATGGTGCAGTCTATGCGGTTCAACTCATTGTCGTTCGCAGTGAGTTGTGAACTCCACTGTTCGCGCAACCGTCCCACCCATCAACCCACATCTTGGCTTGATAAATCCATGCGGCGGCGAGTGCAATGAGTGCTAGGTGTTGGCTGGTGCATCTCTGCGGCTGCGATCGCCCGCGCATGCTCGCGCGCGCAACGGCCAACTAGTTTGGCGCGACCGACGCGGCCGCGTTTGCTCTGTCCGCCGGGCACTTCCCAGCAGACACTTCAGTGTGCGAGTCGGCGATTTGGGCGGACGCGGTATCATGACAGCTTCGACAGCGGCAGGCACGATAATGATGGTAGCGACGCGATTGGCGATGATGACGACGACGACGGCGAGGCCAGTGACGGCGCCGATGTTGATCACGACGACGACGGCGCCTTCGCGTTGGTGATGAAGGTATTGGAGGGAGCTCGACATGCGCGCGCGCCCGGCGCGCCGTAATATTTGACACGGATCGCGCCCCCCCCGTTTCCCGAGCACGCGGCGCAAGGGCGTTCGAACGATTTCGACATGTGGCGCGAGAAGCCCGTTCGGCCGGCGATAATGGAATTGTTGAACACCGTGTGGTCTTCTCAAGAACTCGCAAGACCGCAAGCGCAGTCTTGTTTGAGAGTTGTCGCTGCAATGCCATGTGTGTTTACATGTTTGCGGTGCGCTCGATTTCGAAATCCTTAAGTCATCGCAGGTTTCGGAAACAAAAAGGTTTTGGCATGGGCGCACGGCGACGCGCGCGCGCACTTCGTCCCATTCGCTGTTTTCGCGACTGTTTTCGCGACAGCACCCGCGCAAACGGGGTTCTTGCGATTCCAACATGCGCGCGCGAGTGGCCCGTTTGGTAGCACGCTTTGATCACGGTTTTCCCAGAATTCGCAAAAGCGAGAGCTCAGGTTTGTTTTGAGTTTTCTCGTTGCGAAACTATGTGTGTGCTTCTGCTCTCGGGGCGCTCCATTTTGAAATATTACAAAACCGAAGTCGGAAACAAGAACATGTGCAGCTCCAGTGGCGGGTGGTTTCTCAATCCCAGGACCTGTCGATGATCGGGGACGACGTCGGGGTGGTGTGGTGCATACGTTCTTCCCGTTTCCCCCAGGAAGCGACGACAAATGTATGCGCCGGGATTCCGTGTGCGCCAGGACCCGCTCTCATGTGCAAATTCCAGTGCGGGGTCTGAAAAAGCGTTGGTGTATAAAGTTCGGTTCCTTACAAGGGTTTGGGGAAATTTCGGCACGCGCGCGCGACGACGCGCGCGCGCACCTCGTCCCACTTTTTGCCACGGGCCCCAGGTAAACGAGCGCGCGCATAATTTTTGGAAGAGGGCGAGGGGTGGTCCGCGACGCCGGCCCCGCTGGGACGATGCGAGTTTGTTTGTGAGTGGACGAGAGCGCAAAATCACATGCGAGCTGCCACGCGAATTAGGGGGGCTGTTAAGTTCCGAAAGGGGGGGGATCCCCATTTTTTAATAGCACAGTCGATGCGGTGTAATTCATTTCTGTTCGCAGTGAGTTGTCGAGCCCACTCCTCGCGCAGCCGCCCCGCCCGCCCGCCCGCAACTTGGCGCGCGAGACCAGCGCGGCAACGATTGCGATGAGCGCGCGGCGGGTGCATCCTTGCGGCCGCGCTAGCCCGCGCGTGCTCGCGCGCGCAGCGGCCGGCAAGTTTGGTTCGGCGCGAACGACGTGTCCGCGGCGGCTCTGTCCGCCTTTCAGTGCGAGTCGGCGACTTGGGCGGGCGCGGCACCGTGGCAACGTCGACGGTTAGGCGCGAGGACGATAGCGATGCTGGCGACGACGATGGCAACGACGCTGGCCGGGCCAGCAGCGGCGCCGACGCTCGTCGCGCCGACGACGACGACGGCGCCTTCGCGTCGGCGACGAAGGTTTTGGAGGGAGTTCGACATGCGGGCGCGGCCGAAGCGCGTGGGTGGCCCGCGGGATAGTAGCGGGCGCGGATCGTGCCCCCCCCCCCCAGCGCGCGCAAGGGCGATCGAACGATTTCCACGCGCGGCGCGCGAGAAGCCCAAGTGGCCAAATTTGGTATCAGCCTTCAAACACAAATGATTTTCATTACCATTCGCAGGAGAGAGAGAGAGAGAGACAGAGAGAGAGAGAGAGCGAGCGCAGGCTTCCTTGGAACATTGATGTTGCGAAACCATGCGTTCTATTTCCTCGGGCCGCCCAATTTCGGAATCCTTTTGGAACCCGAGGTTTTCGCATGACTTCGTCGCGCGCGCAACGCGCGCGCGCTTCGTCCCGCTCGCGCAAGGGACTCGCGCGACAGCGTGCGAGAAAGGGCGTTCGGATAGTTTCGACGCGCGCGAGCGGGAGGCCCGTCTTGGCAGCGCGTCATGAAATCGTTGGAAAAATAACGCCCCGTCGAGTTTGCAACGGCGCGGGCGCGACTTTCTTCATGTATAGGTATAACTCTCGGGTCGAGACCGTGCGCTCTGGTGCGTTGTCGGGTCGATCGGTTTTGAAATTAGATTTTCGAAATATTCCGGCGCGCGCGCTCGACGACGCGCGCCCGCGCACTTCGCCACATTTCGGTCGCCGGGGATCCTAAAACAAAAAAAAAAACGTAGCTATGATACACGAGTGCGCGCTCGGAATTTTCTGCAGCGGATGGGGAGAGGGGGCGGGCGAGGCGGACCTGCCTTGGATGGCATGAATTCATATTCGGGATGGGCGATGGGGCAGAACCGCGCGCCAATCGCAATATTTGGAAAGGGGGTCGCTAGGTCCACGGGGGGAATCAATTGTAAGCAGTGCTTGCAGTGAAGGGGTCCTAGCGGAAATTGGTAGATTTGGCGAACGTGTCCCGCCATTTTTGGCAGCAGGCTGGGTTCTTGGGTTCCCAGCTCAGGGCTCTCAGGTTCTAGGTGATTGGTTCCGGGCCGATTTCGGTGGGTTCAGGGCTCCCGGGCCCCAGGGTTCCCGGTCGATTTCCTCAGCGAAAACCATCCATTGGTTGGGTTTTTCAGTGACGAAATTTTCTTTGGTGGTTGGGCACTCACCATGCCGAGCGCGAATTTGCCCACTCCACTGCTCGCGAAACCACCCCACCCACCGGGCCGCCTGCAATTTGGTCGGTGGAACCCACGCGGCGGCGATTGCAATAAGTGCATGGCGTTGGCTGGTGCATCTGCGGCCGCGCTGGCCCGCGCATGCTTACGCGCGCAGCGGACAGCTAGCATGGCGCGACCGACGCGTCCGCGTTTGCCCTGACAGCCGGGCACTTCCCAGCGGGCACCACAGTGCGAATCGGCGAATTGGGCGGCTTTATGGCAAGGTCGACGACGGTAGTCGCGATGGTGATAGTAGCGATGTTGGTGACGATGGTGGCAGCGACGACGGCAATGCCAGTGTCGGCGTCGATGCTCATCCCGCCAGCGACGGCGACGGCGTCCACGCATTGGCGATGAGAGTTTTGAGAAGAACTCGACATGCGCGCGCAGCCGACGCGCGAGCTTGGTCTGCGCTGTAATATCTGACGCGGGCCAGGCCCCCGCAGCACGCGCGCAAAGGCGTTCGAATGATTTCGACATGCAGCGCAGCAGGCCCGCGTGGCCGATCTATGAGCACGTTGAAGAACGCACGGTTCCTTGTAGAATTCGCAGCAGCGCGAACGCAGGCTTCTTGGGAAAACTACCGTTGCGAAGCCATGTGTGTATGCTTTCGGGGCGGTCGATTTGAAATCCCTGTGAAAATGATGTTTTTTTGATTGATTGCGGCACGCTTGCGCGACGACGAGCGCGCGGGTGCGCGCCCTTTTTTGTTGTAGCGGATTATTGCGACAGCGCGCGCAAGGGTGTTCGAACGATTTCGACGTGCGCGCGCGACTGGCCCGTTTTGTAACACGTTGATTGCGCGCGTTGCATTTGTTTGGACACATGAGGTATGGAGGGGTGTCGACACCAGCCTGCATGGGATGGTATGAGTTCGAATTCGGATGGGCGATTGGGCAGAGTCATATGCAAATTGCAACGCGGCAGGGAGCGCCGCTAATTTCGGAAAGGGCGGGGGGGGGGGGAGAAGGAGGGGGGGGACATTTTTGCTTTAGGATCGGGAATCAATGCGTGGGCCCTTCCCGCGTCGACCTTGCCGCCGCAGGGCCGCCCCCGCGCGGCTCGCCACGGGGTTCCGATGTCAGCGGCGATCGACCCCTGCGTTCCGCTGCCAGCGCCCCGCGGGGCCGCAGTGACGACGCGCGCAGCAGCGGGCCTGGCTCGGGGCTCGGCGGCCGTTCGGCTGCCGAGGGCCGCGGAGTGCGCCCCTTCAAGGTTTGCGTACATCCCGGCGTGTTTTGCGCAGCCTTGGATCTGGGGTTCGTAGAGGGAGGGTTATCCTGGGAACCGGCCCAGATGGATGCTCCTGTTCAACGCGTTGCCTTCTTCCAGGGGCCGTTCGGATCGATGCTCCTTCCAGTCCTACCGCTGC